AGAGAGAGAGAGAGGGGGGTGAGAGAGATAATGAACGGGTTGACATAGATAGATAGATAGATAGATAGATAGATAGATAGATAGATAGATTTGAACAGACATAGATAGATAGATAGATAGATAGATAGATATATAGATAGATAGATAGATAGATGCCAACCGTTACAATTAATGACAAATGGACACTTATTCTGGGAAATATGAACAATCCGTTAGTGGAAGGAGACTCCTACGTCTACGACTCTTTAATTCGAACTTGACTCAAGCTCCCCTCTAACAACCCTTTCCACTCATCCTGAACAAAATCTTGATGTTTCCACCCCAATACACCATCACCTCCGCGCGTTACTTTCTCCACTCACCCTAATTCCTCTCAGCATCTCTATTCCTATTTCTCCTCTCCAAAAAGTGAACAGAACATCAACATCGTGCCGTGCCGATTAGAGCCGATTCCTACCGAGATAGGGGTACAGGAGATAGGAAACAAAGAGGTTCAACTCATTTTCCTATGCCGTGGACGGGGGTCAGGAACGACGCTTGTCCGGCTCGTTGCTTTTTTCGGCCCTGAAGCCATGGATGACGGACAAACAGCAGTCACGACAAAACCGCTATTATCTGATTCCTATCTGTTCAATCAAGTGTGAAATGGACACTGGCTGTCGACGTCATATCGCCCCAGACGCCGGCTTCATTTCACTTACGAGATTCTCTGTCATTTCCACCTTTTCTTGATTCATTATTGTTTATTCATTTATTTATTTAAAAAAAAAATGCATGTTTGCATCAGATGTTAGGGTGGGGTGGGGGTCTTATCGCCAGAGACTGAGTGACAACAAACCCACAAATTTCCAGCCTTTCTTAGCATCTTATTAGACCCCAGTTACGCAGCATTGTGGAGAGTCTCAGCTATTTTCCGTTGAAACAGCGGCTCTGATACGATCGCTGAAGTTAAGCAACGTCTAACCTGCTCAGTACCTAGATGGTTTTTCCTGGGTATGACGATAAACTACATCCGGGTCTTGAGTTAGACTACGTCCAACAAGATCAAGAGGTTTTGAGGAGCGTGGAACCATCTCTTAATTGCTTGTTTTCCCAGGTTCACCCTGACCCGGGGTGGTAGCACCTGTTAGGGTCGCAGCTATGGGCCAGTAGTTAATCCCCAAACTGGCGACATAGTGTCTATGAAAGTGTAAAAATAGGTTTTAATATCAGAAATACTTTGTAAAAAATTATTACCAGCAATAAATCTTTGGATAAAAACTATTACCACCAATAAAAATCTTGTCGGCATTAAATAACCCATTGAGGTTGTTATACCGTAAACCAAACCAAACCAAACCTAGATCGGTGACCGCTTAGGAATACCAGTTGCTGCAAGCTTGGATGTGCGGGTGGTGTAATGAATGACAGTTTAGAATTTGAAATCGGAGAGCCGAGTTCTATTTCCAGTCAGGTTCGTCATATACAAATATGCGCAAATACCTTTAGAAAAGGCATGAATCCACACCTTCCCCTTCCAGCTATGCATTAATTAGTAAATTATTAGTAGTAAATCATTATTATCTTCTAAGGAATTCTTACAATGTAAAAATGTTTTCTGGATTTAAAAATCTGTAAAAGGTTGACAATCCGTAAAAAAATAAATAAATCAGCCGTTTTTGAGTTCTCAACATATCTCGTTCCGGTTGGATTGTTTTTGGTGTTGTTGCAAAAGGAAATTTTATGGCTATCTCGCTATTTAAAAAGAATCGTAAAAATAGGTAATCATTTTTCGTCTCATAATTTTTCTGGCTAGGGGCAATCCGATGCGGTGTAATAGTCAACAAGCTTATCTTTGCTAGATCTAATTAGGACTGTGTAGTGGGTTCGATCTTCACTGGGTCTTCCATGTTTTCGATTATATCCCATAAATAAGCTGTTAATTGCTGTGAGAATATCCGTAGCTGATTGGTCAAAAAAGGAGTGGTTCTCATTGAGAACGGTTGTTTTGTTTTATGGCATATCAACCTCAGTGGGTCATTTAATGTCAACAAAATTCCGAAATAGATTCATAACGATAGTTTGGTTTGTTTTGTTTTAATGGCATATCAACCTCAATGGATTTTTTTCCTGGTAATATTTTGATTTCTCAAAAATCTGTTTCTGGCAATATTTGTTTCCTTAAAAATGTATAGCTGGTAATAATATTTTAAAAAATGTATTGCTAGTAATATTTTTTTTCAAAAACGTAATGCTGGTAATATTTTTTTTCAAAAATATATTACTGTTAATAGTTTTTTTTTCTTCAAAAATTTATTTCTGGTAATAATTTTTTTTACAAATAATTATCGTTATTACAACCTATTTTTACACTTTTATAATGCTTTTTACCTCAGTTTCAGGTTAACTATTTGCCAATTGCTGGGACCCTAACAGGTGCTACCACCCCGGGTCAGGGTAGACCTGGGATTACCAGCAATTAAGAGGTGGTTCCACGCTTCTCAATACCTCTTGATCAGAGGCCTTGCTGTTGGACATAGTTTATTGTCTTACCTTGGACGTGGATATAGTTTATCGTCATACCCAGGATGGTCATTAAGAAGGGGTACGCATCTTAGAATTCTATCAGAAATCACATTTTATCCTTATTAAGGTACTTTGACGTGGTGTAATGGTTAGCAAGCTTTCCCAGCTGTACCAATCACTAGTGAGCAGTCAGTTCGATCCTCACCTGGCGCACCATACTTTAAGCTTTGTGTCACATTTAAGCATCACTTACTAACCCAATATATATTAGCATACTTTAGAATAACTTCAGAAGAGTAAAATATTGATTTTTTATCGATTTAGAATGTAGGGTCCTCTTCATAATACTAGATAGTGTCAATGAGGTTCACCCTGTAATAAGTCTTGGGAGTCACTCAAGGTAGAGGGTTACAGAGTAAGAGGCACAGTTTATGCGGATAGGTGGGGAAGATAACGACAGAAGAAATTAAGATTCTAGTGCTCGGAGAAGCATTCTATTGGGAGACGGGAATTCGGTTAGAAAGAATGAAAGAAATAAGGAAAGATAAACGTGTTTAACGTCTCTTACCAGTACCTCATGAATAATGGTATATTCCGACACTACTTGGTTTCAGTGAGATAATGAAAGAAAGAATGAAAGAAAGAAGAGATGTGAGAAGTTTTTAATGTCTTTTTCAGTGAAATGGTTTGATTTCATTGAATTGTTTAAAGGCATATGGGTCATTTAATGACGAAATTGAATTTTCTTGAGAGCTTTGCATTAATTTCATAATCTCTGTCTATAAAAGGCAGGATGTGTGTGCGTGTGTGTGTGTGTAACGAATACACGGCCGCAATTTTCGACGGATTTGCACCAAAATTTACATGCACATGCTCCAAGACCGACTTTGCATTTCCCAACTCCCATCGATAGTGGAAATAATCGATTTTTTCATACTTCTATGGCAATTTTCATGTAGTTTGCGGCCATTTTCTACTGGCCAGAGTGAGAGCCTATAGCTGGCTGCCACGAATGGGCAAGAAGATTCTATTGGCCAGCGTGAGAGCCAACAGCTGACTGACACGAATGTTAACTAGCATGCTAGCATGCAAAAAAATTGATAGCTGCATTCGTCACAGGTGGGAAAAATTTAAATCTGCATGGCACTTTACTCCAATTGGCTCATTCGCTTGCTTAAACTCAACGTTGATTCTGATTCCGCAGAACTGGGTTGGGTGTGAAAAGTATTTGTTGTTAACATTCTTTTTTCATTCAGTTTTTCCAGTTACGAGTCCTTTTTTAAAGCTGATCGTTTTGTGTTCATTTTGTTTAGTTCTTTTTTCGTAACAGATTTAATGTTTAGTATAGAGCTTAGAAAAAATTCGCAGTGTGAGATAAACAAGAAGTAAGGCATGTAGCAACATTAGCACGGCAAAGGGCACTCCTTTAAAGGCAAGGAAGGGCAAAAATATTTTAAGTCAAGTGATAGCGATTGCTGTATGAGTCGTACGATTTTTGAATCAAGCACGGGCAACGCCGGGTCATGCTGCTAGTTTTACTATAAATAGGTATTGTTGGTAATTTTAACTATAAAAATGTATTTTTATACTTTTGTACTATTTTGGTTTTGTTTGGGGTTCACTATTTGTCCATAGCTGGGACCCTAACAGATGCTACCACCGAGAGTCAGGGTGGACCAGGGAACAACAGCAATTAGGAGGTGATTACACGCTCCCAAAACCTCTAATCTCCAGATCAAAGATATTGTTGACTGATGTAGTTTATCGTCGTAATCAATGAAATGGAAAAAGTTGTCAATTTCAAATCTTTTTATTTGTACCCCCTTACTTCTCAAAATAACGACCAGCATTCATGTTGATGATTGTTATTGTAATATTTTCTTAAAGCTGTTAAGCTCAAATATTTAATGACACAATTGGGAAATTTCTAAAGGTATTTTATTATCGTAGAACTCGACATGGTATTATTCAATCATTAACTTAAAAGTTAAGAATTAAGGCTCATCAGAAAATTGAAATAGGAAAACCTTGAAATTTTCACGGGTATTTGAGGTTATATTAAATATTTTATCATGGCATTCTTTTAACTTGCAGAGAGAAATCATGAGATGTAGAACTCTAAATTCAAAACAGCAGAGAAGGAGAGAAAAAATAAGTCAACCCATCAAATATTAAAAAAATGGAATCTGTAGAGAAACATAATCGTCTACATTCTTATTGATTTATTAATACATTTTTACGGTTTATCAACCCTTTGCAGGTTATTTAACACTAGAAAATATTTTTAGATTGTAAAAAGTTTTTATGAAGTTGATAATGGTTTAGTGATACACGTCTTACTAATTAACCCATAGCTGTGGGGAAAGAGGTGGATTCTTACATTTCCAAAAGGTATTTGCCCGTAAGTGAATATAACGAACCCAACCGGAATTGGAACTCGGTTCTTTGATAAACAATTCCGAGGCATTACCGATTACAGTGCACACACATCCAAGCTTACAGCACCCGGTATTTCCAAACGATTACCCATCTAGGTACTAACCAGGCTCGATGTTGCTTAACTGGTGATCTTACGGAAACTAATGTTTAAACGTGATATGGCCCTAAGCCTCCTATATCCTGAATGTAGGATGTCATTAAAAATCATGATGAAGATTATGATTTGCTTTTTGAGATCCCCAGTGAATTTCCCCTCAGATGGAAACTTGAAAAAAACAGAGATATGATTTTATAAAATAATGGTAACAGCACCGTGGATGGAACATGGGAGCAACGAGAAAGTTGTAAAGACAATGGAAATAAAAAGGAAACTTATGTTTAGAATCAGAAAGAGACAGTTGAACTTACTTGTTCCTAGAACGAGGTAAGGGGGCTTGGAGAATTTGACATTCACAAGACAAGAGGGAACAGCGAGAAATCTACCTAAAGAACTTGTAGAAATGGATGGCAAAACATGGACAGGAAGAGATGATGGAGGTAAAAAAAACACGAAAGAGATAAAACCGTGACACCGACATTCTGAAGAGAGACAGCAGATAAAAGAACAACAAGAAGAAAGACAAGAGGTGAAAGCCTGTTATCTTGAAATTAGGCACTCGAGATTTTGGTTGTTACTAGATCTCGAAAAACTGGCATTGGTAGGAAAGGCGTATTTCATTCATTCAGATGTCCATGTACTATAAAAAAAATGATTTAGTTTCTGAATCTTAGAATTTATATCGTTTCGTTTTTACAATTTTATTTTCAATTTTATCTCGTGATTCTTTTCTAGAATCTGTCATTCAGTGTTTCTCATTCATTTTTTTCGTCGATCATATTTTTTGGAAAAATTTAATTGCCTTTTGCTTTTGTTTCTGTTTTTTCATTTTCTTACCTCTGTCCTTTTGGCGTCGTGCGTGATGCCCGCTTGCGCGATCGTGTCTTTCACGATTCATGACAGTCTTAGCAGAAGAATTACCGCAGTAGGCTGCCGTTGCTTTCTGTGGTAGATTAGACGGCAACCAAAGCCATAGGGCCCTAGATTATCCTGCTATTTAACCCATAGCTGGGGGAGAAGAGATTGCTTTTGCGCGTAAGTTAATATAACAAACTCAACTAGAATTCGAACTTGGCTCTCCAATTTCAGATTCCGAGCCATTATCCATTACATCATCGAAACATCCAATCTTACAGCTCCTTTTTATTTTCAAAGTGCCACTCATCTAAGTGCTGATCAGGTTAAACATTGCATAAATTCTGTGATCGAACGAGAATTCGTGTTTCAAGTTGATAGCACCTCCAAATATCCTCTGTGATTTTTTAGTTCCTTCATAAGATCATTTTTTCCTTTCTTTTTTTCCTTCTTTCTCTCTTTCTACGATTTTTTCTTTTCTGTATCCTTTCTACCCCTTTTAAATGTTTCATTTAATATATATATATATATATATATATATATATATATATATATATATATATATATTTTCTTCCTGCTTTCTGCTACGTTTCCCGCCTTCATTCATTTTACACTTTTCCCGCCTTTTTTGTTTTATTTCCCTCATTATTTCTTTCTTTCTTTTCATTTGTTCTTTCCTTTCTGTCCTCCCACCATTATTTTCCCCAATCCTTCCATCGGTCTGTCACTTGTTTTTTTTTTCTCTCTTTTTCCTCCGCTTCAGTTCTTTCGTCCTTTTTATCGCTCCTTTTCACCTACTTTTTGTCAAACATTCCTTCTTTCGTTTTGTGCCTCTTTCTATCTCCCCTTCCCTTCCTTTTCCTTCCCTTCACTCTCCTTCCCTTCACTCTCCTTCCCTTTCTTTTTTTTCCTTCGTACCAAATTTTCCTCCTGTTAATGGTCACCTCAGGCCACACTTCATCATGCTTCATTGGACGCATGATTCTTCATCTGTGTGCACTTGGCAGGACACGCGTTCGTGAAAACAGCCGACCATTTTGCCGACGCACGTGCAGAAGTGACCTACTGAGCATGTGCATGCACCTATATGTGTACAGTAGGGTGTATAGATTCTTTTTTTTTATTATTTTATTTTGGAAAAAGATGTTGACAGATGTGTGCATATGGTATGCGTATATTTCTGTATGTATGTGTGGATGCGGATTGTGAGTGTAGTGTGTATGTATTTATGAGTAAGGTATGTGTAGATTGTACTTGTATGATGTGTGTTTGTATTTGGTATGCGTGTATATAAATGTTATATATGACACGATAATTTTAATTGTTTGTAATTGCAGTAGTGTGTGCCTGTACGTGAGTGTGTTAGCGGTGTGCATGTCTTGTTGGAGTGTATGTTCCGGTTTGGATGTGTCTCGTTGAAATCTGTGTGCGTATGTAGTGTGTGTACATGTGGGTATGTTGATTGTGTAGGGCATAATTTTACGCATGTTTGAGCATTTGTGAGGAGTATTTATTTTTGAGACGAGACTCCTTAATATTTTTTATGAGTATCTGCCCGCGCGAGGTTTCGTATCTATGTCTTGAGAAAGTGGTCCATATACCAAGGTAATGTGTGCATCTGTGGTGTGTGTGTCTAGGGCAGCGATTTTCAGCCGCTGCACCCTGGGACACACTGAGTAGATCGTGTGTGTCGCATATTCAGTTAGTGAATAAATTGATTATATTTAAGTTTAGTACGGCTGGGTAACTAGAAACGAGGGTAGTATAATATGAAATCGATGACATGAGGTTTTCAGGAAGAATTTATAAATATTAAAAATGGTTTGCTTAATAACTGAGAGAGTTAAATAATTTCTGAGATTGCCAAACATCGGTGCAGAAACCCAACCACAAAAGAAAGCCCAAATGCAGAACGATATATATATATATATATATATATGTGTGTGTGTGTGTGTGTGTGTGTGTGTGAGAGAGAGAGAGTTCTCAGAATAAATCTGTAGAGATGGCAAACTGAGTAAAATAGACAACCAGAAAATAGTGCTTAGTCTATGGTGACGTATTTCGTCATTCCACTTTTTCAAGGCTAGTGATGATTAGCAAAAGTGAAATGTTGTGTAGTTACACGAAATTCAAAAACCCGAACGCCACTTTTTGGTTATTAGTAAATCCTTCTTCTTTTTACTTTGATATATATATATATATATATATATATATATATATATATATATATATATATATATATATAAAAATATTATAAATTAACTGATTTAAAAATATGGTTCCATCGCTACACAGGAATTACCACGTTTCAAAAACGATGTTGTGAGATAATAACAATAAAGCGATGACGTTTCGATTGTCAAGATGCAAATGTATTTACAATTTATGCCAAATCCTTGTTAGAATCGACAGTAAAATGACTAGAATGCAGATAGAAAGACAGAGAAATTAAGAGTGGCGGTTTTTTTTAAACAGTTTTAAAAAGAGTAAAAGCATAGAAATGAATACAATATGGGAACTAGTAATACAGAGTACTAGAGAAAAGCAATAATGACAACAAAATTGCAATATGAGCTCTGGTTAAAATGTTACTGAGACATTAACTCCCCCAAATTCCTATATTGATGTCCTCAAGAAGACTAAACCTAGTGGATACATTGACTTGACTCAAAGAGTTGTGAGTTCAATACCTGGTTACGACAGAAGATTTGAGTTAAGAGGAGATAACTGAGACATCAGGAAGAGGCATGGCACATGGAACTAGAACAATCTACCGCAGTGGACAAAATAAAGGGTTCATTTCGAAATTCTATTTCCAATTCCGGAGCGTACAACGGCCGAAACGTCGTGAATAAAGATGAGAACAACAGTTCGAACAACGTAAGTAATGCAAATAATTACGATATTTATTTGCATAAATGCAAAATGTGGCACAAGGCCAAAAGGGGCGATGTGGAAAAGGGATTGTCTTCATCTGTCTTAACTTTAAAATTAGCAAGCCACAAACACTGACCCAAACAGAAAACAGTATTGCTTACAGCAAGACAACAGATTTTTACTTGCCTTTCTTACTACATTCACCATAATACCTCATTGTCTCTATGAAAATCCTAACTAGTTCCCATATGTGGTGGAAGGGGAATAAAACAACAAATTTAAAATTTTGCCCCAATGATTATTTTACAAAGATGTGCAAAACTATTTACAAGAAACTAAATAAAATAATGTTAGTAATAAAAATCCCCACAGTCCATAAATGTGGTAGTAATATCAGTTAACTGGACGTAAATAATAACAATACCTCATGTCAGAAATGTAGACGGATATCAAAAGAGTATTGTTAATACAAGCCCAGCGCTCTACGATTATAGCATTGTTCCTGCCAACAATTGTTGGTTAAGAAGAGAATAAATGCCTGTGTACTAAGACCATTATGTTACCCGTCGTGACTGTAATTATGAACTTATACTGGGGTCAGCAAACAGCAACGCATGTCTTATATTTAGGTTGTATGTAACGTGAGTCTGCATAATGTATTTTCTAGCGATTTACTAAGCGTAGCTTAGATTTAGCATAAGGCCGAAAGTATGGAGCACCCAAATCAGGATTGAATCACTATTCAGTCTTAATGGGTCTTGCAAGACAAGCTTGCTAACCATTACACCACGTCGAAGTAATCTACTTATGGTTTTTAGGAATAATAGAGTAACACATGTAAATAGAACTGAAAATAATATGTTGGAGATGTTGACATAATTAAACGAAAGTTTAGGAAGGAAAGTTCCAAGAAAACTTTTCTCTCCTCCCACTACTTCCGGTTTCAAAAGTTGTCGAACTCCGTGTAGTTGATTTGCTGAACAAACCACCTGAGGAGACCGTAGAGGTCGAAACCGCACTAGTGTGCTCTGGTCGGCTTTCATCGTTATTATATATATATATATATATATATATATATATATATATATATATATATATATATATATATATATATATTTTTTTTATATATCAATAAAAATTTTAGCGGAAAAATGTATGATAAAGTGGAACATGATTTCCTGCGACGCGTTTTGTTCTTTAGGTCTTCATCGGACTAATGTAAAAATAAGTCCTAAAGGATGAAATGCTATACTGAAGTTGCGTTTGTAGTAAAATTTTGACCTGAAGTGAAAAAATCAAAATGGCGAACATGGTTTGTTTTGTACTAATTACAAGAGC